TACACACACACACACTTTCAAAAATTGGCAGCCATAAGTTCTAACAATTCTATATTTAATACTACTACTAATAATGATCCTTTAATTTTATATTTAGAATTTTGTTTTGCGTGTATTCATTTAACCCATATCATTTCTACTTGTCTAGAGGACAATTTAAAACAAAATGATACAGCTTACCTGACTTTACCCTATTAAAACCAGTCTGCTCGTTTCCAGTCTCTTGAAACCACAAAACAGTGATTTTACGATTTATATTCATGGCCTGAGAGCATGCTGCCAGTCCGATAGAACCATCCCTCTAAAACAAGAAGTTGCATCAAAAGCATCACAAAGTTACATTCACGGGATGCGAGTATGGGTGTAGTTTGTGCTTGTCTGAGCTTGTGATCATGTCATATATCATGACTCCCTGCTTAACTTCTGACTGAAGGTCTTGTTTTTGTCATAACTCATGAAATACAGGTGGGGCAACACAATGCTACTGGTTAAGGTGTGACTCAGGACAAATAATTGAGTTTAAAACACATCCCAAAGCTATTGTTACAAAGCTCATTTTAGCAGATGAAGTAATGGAGAAGATTAATGGAGAAGGAGTTCCATAGGGTAAATAAACAAAATATTACATAAATTACAATTGATTTTGAAATAAAATTTGAAATAAATAAAAATTGATATATATATATATATATATACACTGTATATATATCATTGGTCACATAAAAAAAGCATTAGATATGTAAGAATAATGGTGTTTACTGTCAAACATGTAAAACCTGTGGGGTGGCGCTTTGCCGTGCCATTTTTTAATCTGAATGGTAATGCAAATAAAATTTTCCTTTTGTGTTTTACAGAAAAAACAACATCATACTGGTTTTCCACAATATGTAGGGGAATGACAAAATGTTCATTTTCTGAGAGACATTTCAAAAGGACAAGACCCCTCTTATCTTTAGTGCTTGTTTACAGAACAGAATAAACTATAATGTTGGCCATCACCCAATATTCACACTTCCTGTTTCACAATGTGTAAGTAAGCGTGTGTGTATGTGTGTGTTTCTTCAGAGGGCACCAATGCCAGGGGCACAATGGCTCCTTTTTTCTTCCAGACTCCCCCTCTTCTAATTCTCAAATGTCAACTTTTTTCTCAGCCTGTACAAAAGCACTCTTCTCTTGGTTTGCGAAACACACACATACACACGCGCGCACACACACACACAGCACACCAGCAACCTCCTTTGCTATACTGTAGTGCTCAATAGAGAAAGAGGATTACAGTTTCTCTTTGAGACACACACACACACATCTAATTCACTTCATTGGAAACACTGTTGGTGGTTTTTAGGGGCAGCATCACCATTCAAACAAAGCTATGTTTGGATATATATATATATATATATATATATACATATACATATACATATGTGTGTGTGTGTGTATCAACACAGCATTTCTAAACATAATAGTTTATTTAGGAAGCTTCGAATGTTTGTAATACAAATAGAAACAAAATTATAACCAAGAATAAAAAAAGTCTACAGGTCAAAATTATTAGCCCTCTGATGTTAATAGTCAATGGTGTATTCCTTTTGCTTGATAAAAGCCTTTAGTCATTTGTTGTTTCAGGCATGTCTCCTGAGGAGTTGCAGCCCATTCCTCCTAAGCAAACCTCTCAAGCTCCTCCAGATTTGTTGGTCTCCTGGCATGGACTCTGGTCTTCAGTGTGCCCCACAGATTTTCCATTGTATTCAATGGGCTTTTGTGCCGGCCAGTCAAGGACGTTCACTTTGCTCATTTGGAGGTAGTTCTACACCAGAAATGATGTATGCTTTGAGTCGCTATCATGCTGGCAGACAAAATGTCAACCCAAACCATCTTTTGTTGCAGATTGCCTGAGGCTGTCTTTCAAAATCTTCCCTTAGTCTTTCGTTTTCATGATTCCTTTGACCCTGATGAGATTCCCAGTTCCAAACGCACTGAAACATCCTCACAGCATTATACTCCCTCCTCCATGTTTCACTCTGGAGACGGTGTTCTTTGGGTTGAGCACCTGTCCCTTCTTTCTCCAAACATAGGCAACATCTCTATGGCCAAAGAGCTCTATTTTTGTCTCATCTGACCAAAGGACACGTTTCTAGTATTTATACTTCAAACTTCAGTCTAGCTTGGAAGTGTCTCTTCTTCAAAAGAGGAGTTTTTCTTGGTCTGCAACCTCGCAGTCCATTCCTGTCCGGGCCTCTAATGTCCGTCTTCGTTGACTAAATCATTCACTAGTGTCTTGGCAGTTGTTCTTAGGTCTTTAGAAACTTCTCTCAATAGTTTTCTTTACAAAGTTTTTGAAATCTTTCACTTCCTGCCTCTGTTCTCCACTGTGTGGGTCTCTTCAAACTTCTTGATAATAATACTTCTTGATAATGATTCTTGATAATGAAAAGTCAGCTGTTTGCAATGAACAAAGATCATTAACTAGATTTAATTATATTGCAAGGAATTGATCTTAATTATATAGATATCGTACCTCAAAGTGATGATGTTACTGACCACTACCTTGTATCATGCATGCTGCCTATTACTGATATTAACTATATGGCTCCGCGTTATTGTCCGGGTAGAACTATTGTTCCAACCACCAAAGACAGATTCACAAATAACCTGCCTGATTTATCTCAACTGCTCTGTGTACCCATAAATACATATGATGTATTTCAACTAGATGAAATGACTAGCAATATGGGCACTATCTTCTCTAATAAAATTTTTTGTGTGAAACCCCACTTATTTGTCTATCAAAAGTGTGCTGTCACTTTAATTGAGCCTGAGCAGTGCAGCAAAAAATAGACTCGCCACCGAAACTATCCCTTCAGTGCTGCTCACGCAGAGAAATAGATATGAAGAGTTTGGTTCCAAAACGCCATTTTGATTAATTTGAGAAAAAATTAGTTTTCTTCACCAAGAAAGTGGCAAGATGAAAACCACTATTTTCTGTTTTAAACTTTCACATAGCATCTTTAGGTTATAATAACATTCAAATTTAGATTTTTATTTTCAAAGATT